AGTCGTTTTGTTCCCTACCTTACACATGTTTTCTTTGTGTGTGTACTCGGCTGGCAAGGGTTCGATGTAGGCAATTAAAATTTGATTAACCTACTAGCACGCTTTGGCGGGGGAGGTGGAAAACCAATAAAATTCTATTGTAGCCTGCTTAATTCATATCTAAAGAAGATAGCTTACAGATAGATGCATTTATGGCTGATTGTTCCTGTGCTGGTGTTTTGTGTGCAAGTGTTCCACCCACAGACAATTTAAAACATTTTTATAAGATCAAATAATAGCCACATGTGCACGAATGACTTGTGATTTTCGTGGCCACAGGAAGTCTGATATATGGCTGTAAGTCTGAGTGGTGCTTTCTCGTCAAAATTTTCCCGTCAAATTAATTTAGCACTCCTTCCATGAATATAGAATAAAATTAGAGAAATAATATGGTTGGAAAACGTGATACATGCACACCTATACACTAACCCTTACCCAAATCCTTATCCTCTACTCTCTTCAAAAAATAGATTTATCACTGATGAGAATCTTATGGAGGGTGAAAATAGTGCTTTCTCTCTAAAAATGAATTGATATTTACTTCTAGACAAGTGATCACTGACATGACTCCTGCTGGAGTGAAAACTGAGTGAAAAATTCACTTTTTTTCTTTTTAATGAGTAACCCCATTCTAATTATTGCGGTTAATACCCTTATTCTATTCCTTATCCTTATCCTCACCCTATTTGTCATCGTGATCCTAACCCTTAATCCTAAACCCTAATCTTTAACCTAGAATTGGTGAGCACAATCATCACTGTTTGCCTTTAAAACCTGTCTGCATTAGTTTGGCCAGGGGGGGGGGGGGACTAGACCTCCCTGCAAGATCACTGACAGGTGGTTATCTCATCAAATCAGCTCTCAATTAACATAAGCAAAAGAGGATCATGGGGAACAATGGTCACCGATTAGGCATTGTTTGCTATATAAAGGGCGCAAGTAGCTATAAGTAGTGCAGTGGGCTTTAATTTTAAGTTTAAGCAATAATAAGCCTCACACTCCTATTGGCTCCGACTAGAATCATCCGTTTCCTAAAGCCTATCCCTGTACCTTGGTACTATCCACATTAAAGCAAGGTTTAACAATGTTTCCAGTTTTGCAAATCTGAGATGCATGGCCCTAAGTGTTATCAGTGTTTGTGATATGGTGTAATATTGCAGACCTGAAAAATTGCACTTCAAAATGATCATGAAGTGCCTCAAAAAAGTAAAAATCTTTGAGTGAGCTGTTTATACCGGTAATCATTTTCCCAAATAGACTAGTGTTATAAAAATCGTTTGGAAAAAGTTTTTTGAAATTTTGAATTTCAATAATAAATATCTTGATAATCAGACAGGTGATCGGCTTGTAAATGTCATGGGAATCCTGACTTACCTGAAGGTTTATAATTATGATTGCAGCATGAGCTTAATCCAGGATTTTGTTTAGAATCTGAGGCGAAGATACCCAATCCCTTTAAAATATAATTGGTCTGAGCGTGTGCACTCTAATATTCTTGAGGCCATCACAGATCAGGCACAGCTAGCTAGGCCCTAGAGTCAAACCAGCAGATTGGTGACCATATCTTGAGCACTTCCAGGGTGCCTCAATTATGAGATTGAATATTGAGATATTATACCCGTCCAGGTGCTTCTCTTTGGCTTGATTTCATTGATCAAGTACGCTACACCATCACTCAATCATTGACTATGATTGGGAGCAAGAGGGCTCCAAAAAAGGTGGCAACATTCAACGGAAATGTGATGTAAATGATATCAGGCCGAGCAGCACAATTTTAAGTGGCTGAAATTTGACGTTTTAGACAGTTTCATTGCTTGGAAAGATATAATGGGTGAGATCAATCCGACAGAAATCCCATTGCATTGAATTCACACGTAAGAGACTTCTATCAAAATATTTTTCTGAATATCAAAGGAAAAGTCTATGATTACTACAAAACACTACAAAAAGATTCAACTAACATCAAAATTCCAAATAAAAGTGCTAGAAACATGAAGAGAATTTGGTAACAAATAAACGAATATATTTTGACAATGACAACATGCAAGATGGAAGTATCAAAGTGAACATCGATGAATAATTGAAATGAATGGCATGCATAATTTATTGAGAAACCGAGATAGATAGTTCCTACAAAATAATAAAATAATGATGATAAATGGCTTGAATTTGAGTTTCAATCGATCAAAATAAGACACTCAACAAAGAAATAGAAAACTATATGACAAACTGATCAATAGTAAATAATTTCTGAAAAGCAAAACAAAAATAGCCAATTAAAAAGAAACATCAACAATAATGAATATTTAAACAACCATATCATCCAACTTTGAATATAAGCAAAATACAGAAATAACATAAAGATAGAGAACAAAACAACAACAAATATGTAGCAAAATAGTCAAGCATCGTCACAAATTTTCACAGACTAAAATTAATTTCATCACATTGTTACCTTTCTCTGTGCGACATGATAAGAGAAAAAAATGAATGGAAATAAAGGAGAAAAAAATATTAGTTTTAATATGCCGAGTATTTTGAAGTTTGCACTATATTAAGGAATACTCGTAAGCCAGGGTAATGATATGATTGCACGGCCCTCTATGGGACAAACATTAACACTGATGAGGCTACCCTGGGTAAACAAGACATGTTATTATTATTATTATTATTATTATTATTATTATGTTATTAGAGGAGATATCATTAGTTAAAGCATATAATGCAGGTTTATACTTTTAAACATTTAATTCTAGATAAAATGAAGTAATCTGAAAAAAACATGCTGCAATCATAATGACAAAGAAATAAAGGCTATTTTATCCTTGTTTGAAACATAAAAATCCAAATTGGCTCCATAAAATATAAGCTTCAGCATTTATAATTGATATTACAGAAAAATTCATTGGTACACTTTTTAGAGTGGAAAATTACCTCTCTACGTATTCAGACCTACAAATGTAAGAGCAAGTAAATCAACACCTATTTATCAAGTTTTAATGTCAATCGAATCTCAGCATGTCTGCTTATAATATTTAAAAAAATAGAAGCCAAAACATATCGTCTTATAGAACAGAAATTAAAATCAGTATTCAGAAAGAAAAAAATATTTGTTAAAGCATTTTTCACTTGCATCATACAAAAACATAACACAAGGTTTAACCCCTTGATTGCAGTAACCGATTGTACCCTGTGTTAAGCCTATGACAATGAGAGAATTCGGCTGTGAGCAGGTTAATATAGGTATTCAAGTTGAAGTATATGCATGAATTAAGCCTTGTGCTAGCTCAACAGGTAGCTATACTCAAATAAAGCGATATTATTAACACTCCATGCACGCACCAACACCACTTGCATTCGCGTACACACATCGATGCAGACAGTGCGGTATGAAAGGAAGGAAAATGTCTTGCGCCGAATGTAAAGCTTGTAAAAAGCACGACACCCAAACAATAATGGCCGCCGACTAGCAAGAAGTCTGGAACTACGCACGCCACATAAAGCGACGTATGGCGATGTTTTCCAGTTGTATATACAGACATACCTAAGGTGGGCCTCATCAGCTCGCTTCTGCTTTATTGAGCCTGAGCAGTCTACAGTGGGTATATGTTAATTACTATACACAAAGGATGCTTAATATGTCTCTCTGCTATAGAGATGGGGGTTACCGTGGGTTACGGTGACAAATTAATGGACTACTTCGCCACACCAAGGCCACTATCATCATCAATTCTGTTCTCATGTAGAGTATTATTGATGCATGTAGATATAGTGGAGAAAAGTCCATTAAATTTTGGGTAGCGCATTAAAATAGTTGGTTCTACAGTGACCACAACAACCAGAACATGATGGGGATTGGTAGAAGATGTGCTTTAGAAGTAGTGTGTCTCTCCTCATCACACACTCTCCCTCTTTCTCTAGCCCCCACTCTCTCTACATATCTCTCTCTCTCTCTCTCTCTCCTTTCTCTTTTTCCTTTCTTTATCTTTCATGTGTTTGATTAATAGACAGCTAACTACCCGCTACCCCATCTCAAATTTTCTAGAAGTACACACACCTTTGTAAATACATTAATTTCTCCTGTTGTTTTTTTCCATTCTCCTCTCTATCTATCTCTCTCTCTCTCTCTCTCTCTCTCTCCATCTCTCTCTTTCTCTATCTGTTTCTCTATCTATCTACATCCCTGTCTATCTGTCATGAGCAGCATCCATGTCATTCCAACATATAAGAATGTCTTTCAACAGATCAAAGCAAGGATCACTCTACGACTACAATACAAAACTGACACGCAGCGCATGGCAGCCATTTTGCCTTTTCGATCACCACACTCCTCCACACATGCCGATACTGCACGTAGCCACGTCCACCTCCACTCTCAAAGAAACAACATACGACACAGGCAAAACATGTGAGACGGATAATAATAAACGCAAGTTACCTCTGCTCCCGGATGCCTCTTGGATGCCCTCTGTCTCCTCACTGTGGCACATTAAGAATTCTACCAGCACCACATCGTCAATAACACCATCCCATTATCTTTATCATCATACGCCGTGCTACGCCACACACCACCTCCTCACCAGAAAAAAAAGACGTGCTCGCCTGGCTCAGACACAGAATGCATGCAATTGAAAATAGCCAGCACAGGCCAAATTTATTGACTACTGTTTTCCGCCTGGGTATATCCTTGGGTATATCTTAACGGAAAACATTACGGTGTGATGAGGCTGGCTGGCTATTTCCAGGCTCCAGCCTTGTGGAGGGCCCCTATCGTCAGCAGTAATAATGGTTGGACAGCTACGTCAATGCAAAGGTGGCAAGGTTCATATAACTATCGTGGCAACTGTATTAAAAAGCTGAGAAATCTATACCTAAGATTGTTGTCTTTCTCTCACTGTCTCCTCTCTCTAGATCTTCTCCCTTGTTTCTCTTTTTACTCCCTCTCTCTATTTGACACTTTCGCTACCACTCACTTTTACAGTGCTCTTTTTCTTTTAAATCCCCAATATTCTCTACTCTTTCTTCATCCATTCTCCCCTCTGTTCCTTTACCATTTCCTACAAATTAATCCTCTCTTTCTAGATTTATATGTTAAATTTTTCTTATGCTTCCTTCCAGATATTTCATGCCTTGAAGTTTGAGCTACAGGCTTCCCCCTCTCTACCTTGTTACTTCGCCTAAACTTACAAATATCTTTGTTTCTTCAAATCTCTTGTTAATTAATTCAATTTTAGATCTATTACAGGACCTCTAATGTTTTAAAAGGCATTTCATTTCCTGTTCTTTTTTAATTTAATTTTATAGCTTTAAAAAATGATTTCTATAGACTTTCTTGTGTTGATGATTTTGTGATCTCTGTCTGAAATAAAATATGTGGTTCTTTTGGGTTCCTCCCTAGTTTTGTCACATGATTTAGACTTGAGATAAAAATATATGATAAATTGCGACTGACTTGAAAACCTTATTTTGCCTTCAGAGACAAGAAAATGATTGATAAACCTGAATAATTCAGAATAAAACTAAAAAGTACATGCTATCATATTTACTTGCCCTTTTCTTTATTTCTCTATAACAGTTAGATAGAAAACTAGGGACCTGTGGTTGATCTCAAGTTCATCCACCTCATTTACATCTTAGTGAAAATTCATTGGCAATGATCCCCAGGGGTTGAACCATTCTATGAATATTCATGAGGTTAACAGGACATCATCACTAAGAGATTTGTTTTTATAATGGATGAGGAATGGTAGTGACCATAAAAAAATGGAACATAATGCTCACTTTCTTTTCTTGTACATACATCTGTGATGGATATCCTTGAATAATTCAGAATAAACCTTTACAATATAGGCTTTCAAATCTATTTTTCATTTTCCTCATCCTGCCAACGGACCTGGGGTTGATCTAGAGTTCATCCATGGATGTCATTTACATCTTTACGAAACAACTCATTGGCAATGCTCCCCGGGGGGTATAATCACCAATGAATATTCATGAGGTTAAGAGAACATCATCACTAAGAGCAGTAACTGTTGGAAGTCTTGTCCACGGATTGTTTTATGATGCATGAAGTAAGATGGAAAGATTCATTAAGAGAGTATATATATGTTCACCCCCTGGCTATGAATATAAATATGGTCAGTCATCCCAAATTATTCTTGATGTAGTACTCTGGCAATTTGAGTCCCTCTCTGTCTCTCTCTATCCCTCCGTCTCTGTCTCTCTCAGTACATTACAGACTACTTTTTTTTCTTCATCGTAATACATCACTGGGTGTTACTCGTGATGCATAATTATTATTAATGACCAAAAGCCTGTAAGACCCTCACACATTTATAATTGACTTGCGCTTTCAGTGAAAATTCTTTTCTCAATTTTGTTATTGTGTTTCTATATTCTGTTTCCTTTACTTATCAGCTATTTTCTTCTAAACCGCTTAGAGGCAATTTGCAATTTGCGGTATACAAATATCTTATTATTATTATTATTATATTACTTGTTCTCACATTTTCTCTTTCTTTATGTCTCTTCATAAATATTAGCTGTCTGTTTCTTTTACCATAATATAACGAACATTTTGTGTTTTAAAGTTTCATTCTAAATATCTAAAAATAAAAAAAATTCTGCAGTTATTACAAATCGGTTGCAAAAGAGTATCCATCTAATTATCATCATCCTGATCATGATATTGCCTTCATCTTACAGAAGATTAGAGCTAGACCAGAGTGAGGTTACCCAAACATAATTGTCTCACAACATCATCACAAGACCATTCAGGACAGCTACAATCCAGGACAGTTACCCTTAAAAAGGGTTCATCGGGCTTCTCTCAATACCAGGGGCATTGTTCAATTTTCAGAATGGGGGTGGGATGGAGGGCCCATGAGCTCTTGCCTCCTACCACTGGAGACGAGAAGCTAGACCAGAGTAAGGTTAACCTAAAGGGCGCTTTTCTCACATCATCATTACAGGGCTATGATAGAGTCAGGACATCTACCTGTTCTGACCTTTTACAAAAGGTTTCACCAGGCTTCATTCATACGAGGGGCGTCTATCCACTTTCAGGATGAGGGAGGGGCACATTGAATGGGAGTATGCACTTAATCACAAGGGAGAGGGGGGGGGGGGGGTATGATTGCCATATCGTATCATAAGTTACTGCCCTCCTGGTTCCAAACAGAAAATAGTACCATAGAGAGTCAAATCCTTTAGGGATGTTTTGAAACAGGTTCTGAAATAAGACAAAATTGGAGCAATGCTTATCTTTACACTCTGTGAACCAGAAGGATACACGGTTGCTTACTGTCACATTATTCTGCAACAAAAAATTCAACTTGTTTTATTGTCTGCTTTGCTGTGAATTTTCTTTCATGAATACAAGAATGTGTCATTGTCAAGCAGAGTGTAAACAGGAGATCACTTGCATGAAATATCTTAAATTTACGGTAAAAATCATTCTGC